ACATAGTATAGACCGTAACAGGTTTAAGAATATATAAATTAGAAAAATGGCACACTTACAGACCCAGAGCTGAAAACTCAGCTCTAGTTGGATTCGCTTCTGGGTCCGTTTAGGCGACCCACCCCTCAAAAGGAAATAGTAGTCGGTCCTGAAGGGGAATGGATATACAAGAAAGATAGTGCAATATTGTTTAAATAAATGTATCTATTGTAAAAATAGATCAACACAGCTGATTTATCCAGTTGAGGAAGCCACAACGAAGTGGTGAAACGCTTTCCGGTTTTTATTGGGACATTGCTCCTTATTTTGTTTTATAGAATTAATAAATTATTTAATTTTTTACTCTGCATCTACCTGGTTCGGCACTTTTACTATTCCTAATGGGAGTGCAGCCCCTAGTCTGCATAATGCCTGAAAAGAGAGTCATGCAGACTCCACGTTTGTAAGTACCCACTTTTGGGACTTTTTACAATAGATACATTTATTTAAACAATATTGCGCTATCTTTCTTGTATATCCATTCCCCTTCAGGACCGACTACTATTTCCTATTGAGCGGTGGGTCGCCTAAACGGACCCAGAAGCGAATCCAACTAGAGCTGAGTTTTCAGCTCTGGGTCTGTAAGTGTGCCATTTTTCTAATTTATATATTCTTAAACCTGTTACGGTCTATACTATGTTGCTATAACTATTTTTTAGATACATTGCCTACTTGGAATACTAGTGAAAAAGATTTCCCTTCAGCAACAAAAAAGATCTATTTGCAATCTGGGATACTAGTGAAAAATCTCTTTTCTCAAGCAATACAAAAGGACCGACTACTATTTCCTACTGAGGGGTGGGTCGCCTAAACGGACCCAGAAGTGAATCTAACTAGAGCTGAGTTTACAGCTCTGGGTCTGTAAGTGTGCCATTTCTTAAACTTTTATATTTTCAAATTTGTTACGGTCTATACTATGTTGCAATAATTATTTTTTAGATACATTGCCAATTTGGAATACTAGCGAAAAAGATTCCCCTTCAGCAATAGAAAAGAACTATTTGCAATCAGGGATATCAGCGAAAAATCTCTTTCTCAAGCAATATAAAAGGTGACACTAAAATTTAAAGCACTACATTCTTTATTTTTCATTTGTTTCTTGTATTGGTGATATTGTAAGGAATCACACGAATGTTTAGCAGCTAAATGGTATAAAGTTTATCACAATAATTGTTCTTTGTTTCATAATAAGCGCTAGGCTCTGCTTATATTTTCCTACAGTAAGACAATCGTTTTAGCATGTCGGCTTGTGCAAAAGCCTACTGTACATAACAAACATATCCACTTTGTTATACATTAAATTACTCAGTACAAGGTCTTTTTTCCCTGCTAAATTCTACTGTCCACCAAGGAGTATTTTTATATTTTTTAAAAGGAAATAAACTAAATATGACATGAACAAATAACCATCGTGCACTACTAACATTGTACCGTTTGTCTTGCCTCACATTCTATATCTCAATGCTTATACAGCCCTTTAGTTCGGCCCTTCGTGCCAGCGTATGCATGGTCCCATGTAAAGCATGGGATAATAGCGAAGGAAGATGAAAAAAGGAGAAAAAGGTAGACACTTAGAAAGAGATAGAGATGAGGGGGCGTTGGAGCATGCGGCAGAGAAAAGGGGCGCCATGTAGTTGCTTTTTGTTTAAATTTCCACAATAGCTTCCTCTAATTGAAGAGAAGCCATGAGATTTACAAAGCATCTCTTTTTACCTTTTCTCTTCCTCTGGTAAAATAATGACCACTTACATCAAGGTTGAGATCTACCACACTCTCTTCCTGGTGTGAAATACCTTGGTCCAAGAAGGAAGTTAATGAGAATCTTTGGATTGAAAGGGTCTCCTGAACCTTATGTCTTGAAGTAGACAAGCTTTCCTGCCCTCTGCCGTTCTCTTGATCAATTAATATAGGAGGATGCATCTGTGGATCAGGTACTAAGCCAAAGAGCCCAGCTAATAGACACAAAGAAGACTATTACCAGATTAATGACTTGTAAATTGTCAAGAAACAAAGGAAGTTTATCTCTGATATGCTCCTCCAAATTATCCATACCAATCTTAGATCCTTAGAGATTGTGGTAAAACCTTACAGCAAGATGAAAGCCTGTGCCAGTTGCCACATAGGCTTTAGAGAGGAGCAGGAGCTCCGTGGAGTTTCAGAGAGATCCCGCATTGTTTACAGGCAAAGAGGAACATTTAGCCAGTCTAAGAACTGCATCGACTACTTAGGAGTAGAGTCCCTGGTACTAGTGTCTGAAATTCCAATGGATGAAGACTGAGATACTCCCTTGTGTTGAAAACCTCTCTCAGTGTAGAACAATTCCTCCATTAAGGATCTTAAGGGGACCGGGAACTGGGAAAGATACTCTACACCCTCTGACATCCAAAAAGAGGTAAAATAACTCTGGAAATCAAATGAGCAGATTCTGGAACTACTGACATAGGCTGAATATCCTCATCCGATGATTCCATATCCCTGATTGGATCCATCTCCAAGGATTACTAATATTATTCATTCTGGGAATTGTCCAGAGGATCTAAGCTTTAACAGCTTCTATGACATCTTGAGATACCTCCTGTTAATATTTCATAATACACAGGACATGGGTAGATGAGCCTGTAGCCACTTTTAAACAGTCTGTGCAGAGACTTTACTTTTACAAGGATCTCTTATCATATGCCTCACAAACAATTCTTTAGTGTGACTTCCCTTGTATGATCTGGATTATTTTCTTCCCGTAGAGCCATCATCATAGGGAATTCCAATTATTGATAGGCACTCTTTTGTTTAGTAATGACAGAAAAAATAGAATGGCTTACCTATGTCTCTTAGAGTGTGACCTTTTTTCCGGGAGCAGAGGGATCTGAATCCATAACTTCAGAAGATTCCTTTTTATCTGTAACAAAGAAAATCTCTGCTAAACAAGTAGAGATTGATAGATACAGAAAAAAATAAGTAATATACCTTCAATAAAGAAAAACTTACCAAAACCAAAAAGGAGAATTCTAATTAAGATGAAAACTGCACACAAATCTAATTACTTAATATAGGAAAAAACCTATAAGAAAACATTGTGCTGAAAAGGGGAAGCCAATATGACTCTGCAACCACTGCAACTGGACTTACATTTTAGAATACGCAGGAGCAAATTAGATTTTCGCACATGAGCGGTAACAGCATGGTGCGACCATTAGACTAGCACCTGCGTATTCGCGGGGATTAAACGCAGAGAAAAAAACCTGAATGGGCCCAAAAGTAAACTTAGGGACTTATAATAAAACAGGTTGAAAGGCTGAGATAGAGGAACAGAACAGCAAATAGCCTATTACCAAGTACAGAGACATAGAAATAGGATAATAAAGTTAGTGAATACCTAAAACCAACATAGAGGCATATAATAATGTAATTAAAAAGGCACATAGAATAAGTGAACCCAGCAGCTAGAAAGGCACTAGAAACAATTATTGCAAAATCTTGAACCAGGAACGAGACATTCAGCTATTTTCTGGTTTCCAAGTGCATCCTGGGGATGTTACTTTTGCCCAATTTAATGGCACACATTTTATTTACATCCCTGCAGGGAATTGAATTGATTGTAAGCCCCAAGGGATGAAGATACTGATAAAGCATTAGCCCACTGAGCTATCTCACCACAGCTGCAATAAAAGGTTTCACAGAGGCCTAGGAATAAGTGAATCCAGAAGTAATAATAAAAGGCCCAACAGAGGCCTAGGAAACAGTTATTCTAGCTGCTATATTAAAAGGCATAGAGGCCTAGGAATAAAACACAGAAGCCTATGAATAAGTAATTCTAGTGGCTATATTAAAAGATAGATCTAGACAAAATAGGAGAGCGCAGATCTGAAAAGTAAATAAAACTAAATATAAATAAGAAAGTGAGTAAATTCAGCAGCTATACACATATAAAGATCCTTAAAAACTTTACACATAATCATGGGCGTCCGCAGGAATTTTTCCAGGGGGGGGCATAATTGTAATGACATCCATGCTTGGTACCTTTTTGACAGTGTCATTAAAAGGAAGGGGCATAGCCATTATCACATAAAGCCAGGGTGAATAGCGTTTTCACAACTATGGTGTCAGGAATATATGTTTGTATTCCTGACACTAAAGTGTTCCTTTAATCAAATTAAAGGACCATTCTGGTCACCATAACAACTTCACCTAAATGAAAATGCTATGATGCCAGGAAGCCCCTGGGTGCTCGCTTTCCTTTAAGGGGTTAAATCACTCTCAAATAGTTTAACCCCAAAAGCTTCCTCCAGCTCCAGGTCGCTCATTGGTATTTGGCTTCTGAAACAGAGTGTCAGGAAGTGCAGATTGACGTCAGGCATGGGTGCCGCTGATTGGCTAGAGTGGACAGTTGACAATCTAAGCCAATCGCCAGTTCCCGGTTCATAAAATATTTTTACTTTTTTATGAATGGGGAGCTACTGATTGGCTTAGAATGCCAGCTTACCGCTCTAGCCAATCAGCAACACCCCTACCCAACGGCACTCTGTGCTTCCTGACACTCAGTAAATAAAAGTGAACACATTAATACTGATATTTTTTTACCTTTGGAGATGAGAAGGTCCAGCGTTTCCCTGCCTGGCCCAGGTACCAAAGCCTTATAATGTGGTGTCCAGAATAAAGTGGAGGGTTCACTTCATTTGTCCTTCCTGCTCCAATCTCCTTTTCCTCTCCTTCATTTGACAGTCTTTTTTTATCTTCTGACACTGTTTTCTATCCTTGGCCCCTTCGGCTCTTTTACCTTTCTGCTACTATTTGCTTATTTTGCGCCCTTCTGCTCCTTTATCATTCTGATCCCTTTCTGCTCCCTTTTCTACTTTAACTTTGTGCTCCTTGCTGTCCCTTTCTGCTCCTTCTCCTACTTTACCTTTGTGCTCCTTCTGATTCTTTCTGCTCCTTTACCTTTGTGCTCCTTCCTGCTCCTTGCAGGCCCTTCCTGCTCATTCTCCTATTTTACCTTTGTGCTCCTTCTGCCCCTTCCAGCTCATTTCTGACCCTTTCTGCTCCTTCTACTTTACCTTTGTGCTGCTTTACCTTCCAGCTCCTTGCTGACCCTTCCTGTTCATTTCTGTTCCTTTGTGCTCCTTCTCCTACTTTACCTTTTGTGCTCCTTGCTGTCCCTTCCAGCTCCTTGCTGCCCCTTCCTGCTCATTTCTGTTCCTTCTCCTTTTCTTACTTTACCTTCCTGCTCCTTGCTGACTCTTCATGTAGGCTGTCTCCCTCATCCCTCACTTCCATAGGCATGCGCACGGGGTGTGTCGGGTGTGCAAAGTTCTACCTCACCGGTCCACAGCAGCATGGAGGGAGGCAGCAGAGAACCCGGGCTAGAGTTCACTCTCCACTGAACCACCAGGGAAGGCAGCAGGACTGGGATATTAACTAATCTGCCCCCACCTCCACCCAAACATACAGCACACACACACACACACAACACCTACACACAGCACACACAGCCCACAAACAGCACCCACACACATACATCACCCTCGCACACACAGCACCAACACACACCCAGCACACTAACAGCATCCTCACAAACACACAAAACTCACACACAAACAGCACACTCACACACAAACAGCACCCTGATAAACAAACAACACACACACACTGCACACAAACAGCACAGTAACAGGACCCGAACAAACACGCACACACAAGCACCCTCTCTCTCACACACAGACACACACACACAGCACACTACCAGTTCCCTCACACACAGAACACAAACAGCATCCTCACACACAGCACACTAACAGCACTTTCACAAACACACACAAAAACACCCTCACTCACATAGCACACTACCAGCACCCTCACACAGCAGTGTGTGTGTGTGTATATATATATATATATATATATATATATAATAATTAATAAATAAGTAGCTTGGCACTCTCCTTAATGGAATCCCTTGTATCCGCCTGGGTGCAAATGGTGTGCGTTCCATATATAACTGAAGAATAATCCAAGATGCACTCTCAGGGCTTGTGCAAAAAATCCGTTTTATTTTAAATCATGTGCAAAAGAAAAAATCGAAAACCAACGTTTCGACCTCTACAGGTCTTTTTCAAGGTTAGTGAAACTAGCAAAATAGTGAATTTATATAGAATAAAGTGTAAGTGCACTTACCAAACCTTAGCGTTGTGTGTTCCCCTCTCCGAACCCGGAAGTGAATTAGGACCGCCCACCCGACGTCACTACGTCAGGCCGTCCGGCGGAATGTTGATGGGTTGTCATAACAACGTGTGTTAATTACCAAAATGTGCCGAATACTGTGGTAGAAAAGTGAGCAATTCTGGTGAGGAAGAACTGACAAGATGGAAGAATAGATCCATATTATAATAACTAACCCCATAAGGCAATTACTGGTATCCATCAATCTTAAGGGTGTCATGTTAAGTGACTAAGTGCTCCAAAATGTGAATGAGTGTAGTACAGCTATAAAAAGACATAAAGATGATGGATCCGAAATTCACCCTAATGAGGTGATGCTGAATGTGATACACTTGTGGTATAAGTATAAATATAAACCTTAAATCCAGGTTAATTACAAGATTATTACAACAAATGAATTAGGCACTATTTAAATGAATACTACATACTAAGGTGCAGATCTGGAGAAAAAAATCTAAAGCTGGACCAATAATTATATCTGTATATAAAATTATGTACAGTCATATACTATATTGTAATTTAATGGTCGTGAGGAATAGACCTAATGAAGCGACCACCTGTTGGTCTGTAATCAACTAATGCGATGGGAAAAAAACAAATATCTGAAAAAAGTCAATGCTAAATAATACTGCCACTACATGTAACAGTAAAGAATATTAAATATAACAGGCGAACCTGCATAAAAAAGAAATAAATCCAAAAGTAAATAAAAATAAAAAAGTGAATAAAAAATAAATAAAAAATGTCCCATCTGCAAATGTTAGTTAAAGAAACATAGAATATGTAACGTGTTCATTAAGTCCTTTTGGAGCTGCTGTCTTTAGAGAATAAATCCAATATGCTTCCCGTTGTAGAAGAATCTTAGACCTATCGCCTCCTCGACGTAAAGGTGGAACATGATCAATAGCAATAAATCTCAGAGTGGGAAGACGATGGTTTAAGGCCAGGAAGTGTTTAGCCACTGGTTTCTCAGTATGTTGATCACGAAAGGCTGTGGTAATTGCTGAACGATGCCCTCTTATGTGATCTCTAACAGCAAGATCCGTTTTACCCACATATGCTAGCCCGCACGGTCACGTAATCAGATAAACCACATGGTCCGTTGTACAGGTGATATAGTGTTGAATAGCGATCCGTTTGCCTGTATGCGGATGTGCAAAAGAGGTACCAGGAGCCATATGACTGCATGTTACGCAGCCTGTACATTTGTAACATCCCTTCTTCTTGTTACTGCCTTCATGTTGATAACAGTGTACCGGATCATTACGGACTAATATGTCCTTCAAATTCCTGTTACGTTTGTAACTAATAATCGGTGGATTTTGAAAGATTGGTGACAAGCTTTTATCTGCTTGTAATATGTCCCAGTGTTTATGTATTGTGTTTTTGATAAGCGTAGTATTAGTATGAAAGGTGAGAGGAAGAAAAAGACGATCTGCCTGAGTGTCTTTGATCACAGGATTTTGAATACATTGTTTTGCCTTCGTTTCGGCAATTGTAAGAATGTGTTGCGAATAACCTCTCGCTGCAAATCTCTGCTTCATCTGTTGTACTTGTGTATCCCTTTTATGAGGATCACTATTATAGCGTAGTACCCGGACAAACTGAGAGATGGGTAAAGATTCAATCATATGTTTGGGATGAAAACTTGCAGCTGACAGAAGTGTATTTCTGTCTGTGTCTTTTCGATATAAGGTATATCCAATACCTTTCTCGGTTTTAAATAAAGACACGTCCAAAAATTGGATCGTGTTCTTATCAGTGGTCAAAGTTAATTTAATAGGTGTCTGTAGATTATTGATGGTGGTAACCATAGTATTCAATTGTTCTTCTGTACCTTTCCATAATACCAAAATATCGTCCACAAACCTAAAGTATTTACATTTTTTAGAGAAAGGAGCAACTTTCAAAGAACCTCCAGATATGCCAAAAGAACGGAGGGATACAAGAAAAAAAGACCTATCAGGCGAGGAAAGAAGGGTCACTCGTTACACCAACACCTCGGGGAGACCCCCTCTTCAGAGAACTCGTCCGTAGTATTTAATTTATCCGACAAAGTCCTTACATAGGATCATTTAGCGGTTTTGAACAAAGGACTCACCTTTGTTCCTAGCAGGAAACCGGATTTTTTTTTTGATGGAAATAGAATTGTACAAACTTAATCGAATTCTTAATTGCAATGAATTCAGAAAAATAGGAACTACAACTCGCTCTCATTTGTTTTCTTCAAGAGTGAAAAAGGATATTAAAACTAGCAACATTGCCATTAAGACTTTCATACAAACCATTCATAATGATGTACAAAGAATCATTAAAATTCCTCCTCATTCTAGACATAATCTTACGTTTAAAGAAAAAGAAGCCCTCAAAGATCTCCGGCAAGATTCAACTATTGTCATTCGCCCCGCTGACAAGGGGGGCGCTATTGTTATCCAAGCATATCAGCAATACAAAAAAGAAATTATGAGACAATTACAAGATGCTAAGACATACAAGAAACTAACATTTGACCCGGTTAAAAAATTTCAACAAAGGATTAATCATCTTATTGAAATAGGTCTCCAGGGGAATTATATTGATTCTAATACGGCAAAATACTTACAAGTGGAATTTCCTATCCACCCGGTATTATACACAATACCAAAAATTTATAAATCCGCGCAGGAACCTCCAGGACGTCCTATAGTATCGGCCCGAGGGGGACTCCTTGAGCCTATAGCTAAATATGTGGACTTTTACATACAAGGGTGTGTTAAAGAAATACCTTCATGCCTCAGAGACACTCCAGATCTATTACATCAATTAAAAGATTTTAGTATGGAAATAAATGCGGAATTTATTTTCGCAACTTTGGACGTACAAAATTTATACACGGTTATTCCTATCACGGAAGGAATACAAGCTGTACGGGAAACTCTTCTAAACACTACTTCTTATGAAGGACCACCCATAGAATACCTATTGGAATGGCTGACGATAGCTTTGACGTGCAATTATTTTAGATTTGAAAATACCTTCTATGTCCAAACGTTTGGGACTGCTATGGGAGCTGCTATGGCACCATCTTATGCCAATATATTTATGGCGTGGTTTGAACGACAACACATTTTATCCAAATATCAGACCCACATATTGAAATACTTTAGGTTTGTGGACGATATTTTGGTATTATGGAAAGGTACAGAAGAACAATTGAATACTATGGTTACCACCATCAATAATCTACAGACACCTATTAAATTAACTTTGACCACTGATAAGAACACGATCCAATTTTTGGACGTGTCTTTATTTAAAACCGAGAAAGGTATTGGATATACCTTATATCGAAAAGACACAGACAGAAATACACTTCTGTCAGCTGCAAGTTTTCATCCCAAACATATGATTGAATCTTTACCCATCTCTCAGTTTGTCCGGGTACTACGCTATAATAGTGATCCTCATAAAAGGGATACACAAGTACAACAGATGAAGCAGAGATTTGCAGCGAGAGGTTATTCGCAACACATTCTTACAATTGCCGAAACGAAGGCAAAACAATGTATTCAAAATCCTGTGATCAAAGACACTCAGGCAGATCGTCTTTTTCTTCCTCTCACCTTTCATACTAATACTACGCTTATCAAAAACACAATACATAAACACTGGGACATATTACAAGCAGATAAAAGCTTGTCACCAATCTTTCAAAATCCACCGATTATTAGTTACAAACGTAACAGGAATTTGAAGGACATATTAGTCCGTAATGATCCGGTACACTGTTATCAACATGAAGGCAGTAACAAGAAGAAGGGATGTTACAAATGTACAGGCTGCGTAACATGCAGTCATATGGCTCCTGGTACCTCTTTTGCACATCCGCATACAGGCAAACGGATCGCTATTCAACACTATATCACCTGTACAACGGACCATGTGGTTTATCTGATTACGTGACCGTGCGGGCTAGCATATGTGGGTAAAACGGATCTTGCTGTTAGAGATCACATAAGAGGGCATCGTTCAGCAATTACCACAGTCTTTCGTGATCAACATACTGAGAAACCAGTGGCTAAACACTTCCTGGCCT